GGTGTGTTTGTATAGACTGCCAGCCAATCATACATGTGGTGGGAGGTGGGGGGTGTGTTTGTATAAACTGCCAGCCAATCATACATGTGGTGGGAGGGTGGGTGGGAGCAGCAAATCTGCAACCCAGTTAGCATGAATTAAGACCCAGATGCCACGAATGTTACATGGATCAAGGTGAGTCTCAACGAAGATGTGAACTTCGCTTTGGCGGGCCCAGTACCAGTCCACAACCTGGCGGCCAAAGTTGGTGATGTTTGCGAAGTGGACTTGGTTGTGGGGTTGCTCAAGCCGGGGTCGCTTGTCCGGGCTGGGGTGAAGCGGAGGGTCATAGTCAGGCTCAGCCGGTGGTGGGAGGGACCTGATGACCTGCTGTGTTGTTCTGTTTGTGTCTATGTGCACGGCCCAGACCTGAGTGACTTGGCTGGCCAGCTGTGGCGTCAGATGTTCCAGGTGCACTGGTGGTTTGCCATCGTCGGCTAACCACATGAGGTCGCGGTAGATGAGGATGGCAAAGTAGTGGCCGTTGTTGTGGGTCTGTCCCCTGTGGCAAATGAGGGCTGCCGGGACGAACTCAGAGGAGGCTCGAGCAAACCCATCCAGTGATTGGGGCACTGTGAACGTGCCGTATGGGTTGAGGATTTTGGCATGCTTCGTCATGATGCCCTCAACACAGGTGTTCCTGGTGATGTGGCTGATGAGGACCGGCTTGTCATCCAGCAAAAATTGACCCATGCCCTGGTTGGCCCATCCATTGTAGAGGTCTTGAAGCCTCGTGTTCTCCGGCCAGTCATCTGGGAAGTCGATCAAGAGGGGCTGCTGGATGTGGTCCTTCAGGTATCCGCCTTCACGAATTTCTGCAAAGCGGTAGTGGAAGGCTCTCGTCTGGGAGATGTTCCAGAGGGTGTTGACAAAGTGGTTGGCATCACCCTGAATGTTGAGATCATGCTTCTTCCACAGCGGGTGAAGTCCCGGCAGCTCATGGATGTCCACCGCTTCTGCCAACTCAAGTGATTCTTGAACTGCAGCTTGTAGATTTCCCCACGGTTGGGTATTTGTCTCTTGGAGGAGCGCACATGTCCATGTGAAAGCCCTCCAGGGTGCATTGGCAAAGCATCTGGCACTAGGATTGCCAACTGTCATCGTCAAGTTTTGCAGGATGCATTCGGTCGTTGAGGCGAAAGTGCCCTGCATCATGGGTTTCCCTCCTTGGGAGGTGGGAGGTTTCTTGTGTGTACCTCCTCCTTTGATGGTCACGACTTCTGGGCCAGGTGCACCGAAAGCCAGGCCATCATCGGTCGCGGGATGAAAAGAGTCAAAACTGTGTTCCTGTGAAGGAAGGTGATCATACGCTTCATGAACAAGGGTGTGAGTCCCTTCACACTTGTTTGAAGCATCCCTTGAAACTGCATTGTGTTGCAAAAGTTGTGGCAAAGGAATTTGTGCATGCTCCCCATCACAATCTTCCATTGTCATCGACCCCGCCGGTGCTGGTTTTGAGGCAGCGCGGCAAACCATATGAGGTGTTGGTGCCTGTTCAAAATCATCCAAGGGAACCGGCACCTGGAGCCCTTGAAACCCTGGTGGCATTGACAACGGGTTACCCACACGACCCCGGCGGTGTCGGGACTGTCTGTGTGTCCGTTTTCCTGCGCTTTGAGAGGTCCGTGTCCATGTCATTGGGCCTCTTGAGCAGGCCATGGAGTTGGGTCTTCTGTTCAGCTGATAGTGAGACGCCAAGATTGGCGACGAAGGTCTCGACAGCCGCAGGTAGCGGGTCTACCTCCATGCTGGTCTCGAGTTCAGTGGGTTTATGCTCAGTGTTCACCGCCTTCATGTAGTCTTCTGAGGTCAACTTGAGTGCCT